ATTTCTTCATTGCATCAGTGAATCTTCCAAACCAGGCCCTTGGCGATTGTTTAAGTCCATAAAGAGCCTTTCGTAGTCTGCACACCTTACCTGTTCTATTCTGCACTTCATACCCAGGTGGAAGCTCCATGTATATTTCTTTTTCTAGGTCTCCATGTAGAAAAGCATTTTTTACATCAAATTGTTTCAACGGCCAATCAAAATTAGCAGCTAAAGATAAGAGAACCCGTATAGTGTTCATCTTTGCTACCGGAGCAAATGTTTCCCCATAATCTACTCCGAAAGTCTGTGTGTACCCCTTAGCAACCAACCTTGCCTTGTATCTGTCGATGGTTCCATCCGCCTTGTGTTTGATGGTAAACACCCATTTGCACCCTACTGGTTTTTTTCCTTGGGGTAGTGACTCTACGCTCCAAGTTCTGTTATTTTGTAAGGCCTTCATTTCAACTTCCATTGCTTCTGTCCATCGAGGATCCTGCAAGGCTTCTTCCACTTTAGTTGGAATTTTGATTCCATCCATTGTATTCACAAATGCTTGGTACTTGGGAGATAACCGATGCGTAGAGACATACTTTGCAATTGCATATCTCATTTTTTTCATCCGGAGAATACCTGTCAGGAGGTTTTCCACGATTTTGTCTAGGAGGCTACATAAGTACTTTCAATGTTAGTCAAATTATGAGCTACTTCAGAATGAGACAAACTTACCTCATGGATATCCTCAGGCATCTGGACGGGTACAACTAGGGAGAGGTTATTTCTTGAAGCATTTGGGTTGTCCACATTTTGAGTCAAAGGGTGTAGAATGTTGCAGCACGGTCCATTACCTGCGCTGGGTTTATATGGCACGCTGAGCTCAAGTACACCTGCCTGATTGGGCTTGCGGCAAATATTCAAATCCAAATTGGGCTCACCCTGATCATTTAAGCTTAGCAAGCCCATATTGGGCTCCCCAATGCTGCTGGGCTCTCGGTGCTCTTCTACACATTTGTTGGGCTCACGGCAGTCACTCGACCCCACTGTTGGGTCTTGGTTGATCACAGGTGGCTGGCAAATCCCACCACTGCATATGTCTTGCTCACGGTGACCATGCACCTGCTCTGTTGGAAGATCAATCCAACTATAATCTTCTATGCTCATCTCCCCCTGAAGATTTTAGTGAGTGTGATCAGGAAGAAAAAACATCTCATGTTCGGAAAATGTGACATCCATGGTGACATACATATGCCTGGTAGGTGGGTGATAACATCGGTACCCCTTCTGCTGACCATTAAATCCCAGAAAAATACATCGAACTGCACATGGATCCAACTTACTGTGCTGATTTTTGTGGAGGTGCACATAGGCTACACAACCAAAAATACGGGGTTGCAAATGGAGTGAGGATGGTAACATCACATGGTTGGCAAAAACTTCTATAGGAGTGCGAAAATTATGCACTCGAGAGGGCATTCGGTTCAGGAGATAAACAGAATATCTGACGGCATCCGCCCAATAGGAATGAGGAGCATGAGCACCGATAAGTAGTGCTCTAGTGGTTTCCAAAATGTGTCTATTTTTGCGTTCGGCAACCCCATTTTGTTGTGGGGTTTGTGGACAGGTAGTCTCATGAAGAATGCCGTGCTCCTGAAAATAGTGAGAAAGTTCAGTATTGAGATATTCCCCACCATTATCAGACCGAAGAACCTTGAGGGGAAGAGAATATTGATTGTTCACCATGCAGTAAAACTGGTGAAATATTTGACCAACATCACTTTTATTCTTCATAGTATAAAGCCATGTCATTCTGGTGCAATCATCCACAAAGATAACAAACCAACGAGTCCCATGATTAGTAGCTACTGGAGAAGGCCCCCACACATCATAATGAACTAACTCAAAAGGAACTGTTCTTTTATTGAAACTCAAATTATATGAAGTACGATGACTTTTTGCAAGAATGCAATCATTACACTGGAAATCAGAGTCTGAAATGCCATGAAATAAAGATGGAAGCAATTTTTTCAAATAACCAAAAGATGCATGTCCTAATCGACGATGCCATAACCAAACTGTCTTAGTCTTGTTTGAGTGACTGCTACGTACTTGATTTACTCGACTTGCCGAGACATCATCCACATAATATAACCCCCTCCTTTTAGTACCACGCCCAATTATCGCCCGAGTCTGGATATCCTGAAGTAGACAAAAATTGGGAAACATTAGCACAACACAGTCTAATTGCTCAGTAACTTGACCAACGGAAAGTAGATGGTTGGATAAAGACGGAACAAGTAGTGCGTTGTGAATGGACAAAGATGGAGTAAGTGAAATAGAACCTGCTTCTGTTACAGGAGCAACGTCACCATTGGCAGTAATGACCTCTTCTTTAGACGGTAAAGTCATGTGATAGAATAATGACGCATCATAAGTCATATGATCCGAAGCTCCAGAGTCAATTATCCAACCAGTATCTTTTTTTGTGGATGTTATTAAAACATAACCGATTTTACCTGAATCTTCTGGATTGTCACTCACTGATATTTGATTGATTAAAGATAGGAGTGGGCTGTTTTCATCTTCTGTGGATGCCGCATTTGGAGTGGACCTTGCAGCTTGGGCTGCTGTGATTGGGTTGGACGAAATAGGCCGGTGCTGACTCGCTGCAATAGCAGCAACTCCTCGGGTTCCCTCAGAATTTCCAAGTTGGGCTTGGAGCCCAGTTTGACTCCCTTGTACACTAGATGCCGCTCCAGATCCAGAAACCGCTACACGGACTTGACCCATCCTTTTAGTTCCCTAGCCTTCAACTCCTTCTTTCTTTCCCAGTACCAATCTGGGTAGCCATGGATTTCAAAACAGGTGTCCTCAGTGTGTCGTGTTCCATTACAGTGATTACAATGGAGTTTATCTTTATCGATATCCTCCTGGGTACGAGATGATCGAGTGTTTCCATATGCCCGTGGACGTGAACTAGACGCCTTGGTTGCCATAGCCATAGGGGGTGCTGCCATCGTAGTCTTTGTTCCCATCATAGTGGCCTTTCTCTGGGATTCTCGTCGTACCAAATTGAAGCATTCTTCGATTCCAGGGATAGGTTTCATCCTTAGAATCTCACTCCGAACTTGGTCAAAACCGCTATCTAATCCAGCGAGAAAGTCGTACACCCTATCTTTTGCAACTTCTTCTTTCTGAGTTTTCAGGTCCGCTCCACACACCATACGGAGAGGACGTCTCCTGTCTAGGTCCTGCCAAACACCCTTTAGTTCAGTTAAATATAGATTGATTGGACGACCGTCTTGTCTCGTTCGTGTAGCCTTGCACCGGAGTTCATAGTATTGTGACTCATCGGAACCATCATAGAACATCTGGGTGACAGTCTCCCAGATATCTTTGGCAGTGGGTAAGTCTATAAAGAGACCAAGTAGGTGTGGTTCCATGGTTTTGAGCAACCACCCGCGTACGATAGCATCTTCAGTTGCCCACTTTACATATCCTGGATCATCTTCATCAACGGCCGGAATTTTACTCGTTAAATAGCCTTGCTTCCCGAGTCCTGAAGCGTGAACCTCCATCATCTTGGACCAAACCTTGAAGTTCGAGTCGCTCAATCGAAACCCGAATGGAACGGCATTGATATTGGTAGACTCACCCTGAGCAGCCACGGGGTGCATGGGAATTAGGGCACCTGCTTTGTTTTCTGCCATTGTACTGACAGTGTAGCTCTGTTGTTTCCAAAGACTACGGGTTTGACCTATGGGTTCAAAATTTGAGAACCAAAGTTTCACAGGTTAGGGCATGTACGATGTTTAGGGGTTCTTTTTCCGAGAGGAGTCAGGTCGAAACCTGGCTCTTGATACCAAGATAAAATTCTAGGGTTTTGGTGAATATATTTTCTTATTATTCTTCTCTCGTAGAGAGGTATATAAACTGATACAATCTCCTATAAATTAGGAAACAAGTATCCCATAAACACAAGGATACCAATTACATAATTATATACCCAAAAAATCTCTACATTCCTTATTTTCTAAGGTTGACTCACGCAACACTTACTTCATGAACTTCGGTTTCATGCCTCTTTGCCCACCTATCTCCTTTGTGATAATCTTAGTACTAGGTATATCGCAGCCAACCAGGTATTTCATGCTCGCACAAAGCATATTGAGTTAGATTATCATTTTGTTCGTGAACATGTTAAGCTTGGTACTCACAAAGTTCATTTCATCCCATTCTTGGATCAACTAACAAATCTCTTGACAAAAGGTCTATCTAAACCACGGTTTATTCTTCTATGGTCCAAACTTGTCGCCTCTCGACCGTCTAGTTTGTCATGATGTTAGAGAAGGAGTCTTGTGCAAGGAAATCGTCCTTCTTAAGGTTTAGCAATTAATAGTGTAATCTGGTTCTGATTGTATTCATAATTTGAAGAGATCCTTACCTGTACACCAATTAAACACGATTGTATGTATAGGCCTTTGTGCTATGAACGTAATTAACAAGTTTATAATTTCTATAGATTTAACATGTTGTAGGTTACCGGAATACGGAGGGCTTAACACAATTATAGAAAAAATTATCACAAGAAGATGATTGAAAAAGAAAAGGATAAGAAAATTTTGATGCCTAATATGATAAGGAAAGGTCCTCACAAATTTTTTACCAAATAACAATTTTAAACAACTAGAAAAATAATTAAAGCAAACCCATCTTTAAAGGGTGCGTAAGGCCCATGATTAAAATATTCTGGTTTGTGCGTGGGCGTTTGCGAAGATGCTAATATATGGATAAAATCTAAATCGAATCGGATCTTGTCAATTTTCGGGTCGACGATGTGTGACATGTGTTCCATTACGCAAGCACCAGGCACCGGCGATAGAAGCTTCAGGCTTCCAGCCCAATGCTAGAAGAAACCGCTGCTTTTCCGCCGTTAATTCAAAAGTGCCTTGCAGAGTCTTCCAAAACATGGACATGGATATCGACGAAACAGCCAAAGATACGCCCCTTCTCAAAAGGGTGCGTAAGGCCCATGATTAAAATATTCTGGTTTGTGCGTGGGCGTTTGCGAAGATGCTAATATATGGATAAAATCTAAATCGAATCGGATCTTGTCAATTTTCGGGTCGACGATGTGTGACATGTGTTCCATTACGCAAGCACCAGGCACCGGCGATAGAAGCTTCAGGCTTCCAGCCCAATGCTAGAAGAAACCGCTGCTTTTCCGCCGTTAATTCAAAAGTGCCTTGCAGAGTCTTCCAAAACATGGACATGGATATCGACGAAACAGCCAAAGATACGCCCCTTCTCAAAAACGCCGCGTTTTACCATTCTCGGTCGTCGTCGCCTTCGGTGATCATAAAACCTGTCGTAGTAATATTGGTGGGTGCGCCTAGAAGCGGCAAGTCTACCTTCTGCGAACATGTCATGCGCTCCACTCGCCCTTGGGTTTGCGTTTGCCAGGTATATCTCTGTGCACACAGTGTGTTCGATGAAATGTCGCAGTGGGCTCAAGATTGTTATTTTGAGTACGTAATATGGTACTCCGGATTTCTATTCATTTGGGTTCTTGTTTTATGCTGTTATATGTTCATATTTATGTTTTTGTAGGATACTATCAAAATTGGTAAAGCCGGAACGAAGGGGCAGTGTATAGATAGTGCAATGAATGCGTTGAAGGATGGGTAGTGTGTGTTTATAGATAGTTGTAATGTGGAGAAAGAAAAAATGGGATGATTTTGTGAAGCTTGGTGGTAGTTCCCAAGTTGATGTTCATGCTGTGGTGCTTGATCTTCCTGCCAAGCTTTGTATATTGCGGTATGTGAAGCGAACGGGCCATGAAGGAAACGTGCAAGGCGGGAAAGCTGTGGCGATTGTGAATAGAATGCTGCAGAACAAAGAACTGCCTGAGCTGAGTGAAGGGTTTGCTAGAATTACTTGTTGCCAGAGTGAGAGTGATGATCAATCTTCCGTTGATGCATATAGTGGACTTGGTCCGTTAGATACACTGCCCAATGGTTATTTTGGTCAGAAGAACCCCGGTGCAAAAATTCAACCAGGTATAATGAAGTTCTTAAAGAAAACAGATGGTCCTGCCAATACTGAATCAACGTTGAAGAGTGTACCGGATTCTAATGCTTCTCAAATTACTGAAGAAAAGGAAACCTCTTTGAAAGGAACAGTTTCACTTTCTGAAAAATCTGGTAAGGAGTCAAAGGAAGGTGAAAAGCTAGTTGTAGGCTCTGTTGACGGTGATGGTTCTCTAAACGATGCTTCCACTCTGGCATTTCCTTCCATTTCAACAGCAGATTTTCAATTTGACCTTGCAAAGGCATCTGATATTATTGTTGAGAAAGTTATAGAATTTAGGAATAAGCTTGGAAATTCTAGACTTGTTTTAGTGGACTTGAGTTATTAATTGAAGATTTTGTCTTTGGTAAGGGCTAAAGCTTCAGAGAAAAGCATTGATTCCAACAAGTTCTTCACATTTGTGGGAGATATCACTCGGCTTCCTTCATTCAGAAGGAGGTTTACACTGCAATATAATAGCTAATGCTACCAATTGGTCAGCATTTAGAAATACTATGCAATATACATGTAAATATTTTGTTGCGGTGCTAGTTCACAATATGAAATTACAAATCTGTAAGATATTGGCATTTGCGTCCGATCTTTTTGAAAGAATTATGTTTACCCAGGATTCAAATGAAAAGAAAATTAAACTTGATATACTGTTGTTATTTCAGGTTAACAATGGAGGCTTTGTTGCATGCATTTTGCTTATTCCCTGAGCGTCAGAGATTCCAAACCAGAAATTTTCAGTGCATTACTCAGGTTTATGATTTGATTGACTCTAATTCACTTTGAAGTAGTCTAGGCATATCTGCAATCTACATGTTACTCCTATTTTAGTTTTTGACTAACGAAGGCCATATATAGTCGATCATACATACATACCGTTATAGGTGGAAGAAAAACAGAATGGTTTGTGTATGCTCATGTTGATTTTCTGGGTAGCAAGAGAAATATATTCTCCGAAAAACTCATGTATTGTATGTAACTATGGTAGTTAAGTGTTAATATGGAAGACCTAATCATCGCGATCGATACTTCGCATTTGACAACATAAAGTCTTAAACGATAGAAGCTTTTGTCCTATAATTGAAGTTGAGGTTCATCCTAAAACCAGTTGAAATTGGGCGAGTGACTCAACTCTTGTAAAAGCAGATGAGTATTTCATTGTGCTTAGGCATGAAAGGGAGAATACTGATTGAACCGTAGTTTGCCGATTTTGTTGAAGCGGTTGAGTTTTTCATTACTTCTTGTTACCTGAGAGGGTTGGCTTTTGCCTTTTGGTGCAATCTCATACATAAAAGTTGGTGAGGAAATTCTGAAATAAAAAGTGCTGGTTTGCTCTCTTATAAATTGAGGTGAAAAATAAACTGGATATGATGAGTTTAAAATTGAATGACAAGATGTTAAAACATATCGCAATTTAGAAGTCAAGATATTCTTTGTAGTACACTCTTTTGGGTGGAGTTGGTCTCGACATTGTACTACACAATTCAAACAAATAATACATTACATGTAGTACACTCTTTTGGGTATATCAAATTACGCTAACTTCAAGAACCTCGACGGTACGAGGAAGTTTATTGAAAACAAAGGATAAAGATACACAATAAACTATTACAAATATAACTATAACATACATAAATTTAAAAGGTAAAACCAAAAAGCAAACCTCTTATTTGTTGGATCTCAAATTCCCCAGGCATAGCTTGAGGTCCAGCTGCATTGGTCCCCATGATCATTAACTTCAACGTCCGAACCTCTGATTTATGTGGACATGTCTTCGGTGAGGACCAATTCTATCTTCAAGCTAAGGGAATATCTTTACAAGGATTTTATACATTGTTTTGTAATACCATTTACTCCATCTCTTGCACAACACAAGTGACCCGACCGCAGCTCCAAAGCCAACAATAAATCCAACTTCAACACTGATAAGATCCCAATCAATTCTGTGCGCAGAATTAGAATGTTTGCCTTCTAATGTTGGTGGCAACATTGGTGATCCGTTATCTAACGGTGGCCCATATAATCCTTTATTGCCTGCGAAAGAATCTGCTGAAAAAGTCTGAATCTGAGTGCCGGTTGGAATCTTCCCGACAAGTTGATTGCTCGACAGATTTAGGAATGAGAGGAAATTAAGTTTGGAAAGTTGTGATGGAATTGTTCCGCTCAATTTGTTGTCCGAAAGGTCTAAGGACTCAAGCTGTCCTAGATTACCTAGTGATGATGGGATTGCGCCTGTGAGAGCATTACTGGACAAGTTTAGGCCATGAAGTGATTTGAGCATTCCCACTTCCTCAGGTATTGATCCGTTAAAATTGTTGCAGGAGATGTCAATTGAAGTGAAGACTGTTAAGATCTTTACAAATTCCATAGCTAGACCTTTGATGGTAACTGTTACGGTATCCTGATAGTACACCTGGCCGAAGTCTACAACTTGAAATTGGAGGTGATTAATCTTTGACACGGCACCATCTTTGTCAGCCATCATTGCTTGCCACCTTTTAAAAAAACTTCCTGGTATTTCGCCAGTAAAATTGTTGCGAGCTATGTCAATAATTTGAAGCTTTGGCCAGGCACTTTTAGTCTTGTGGCATTCAATGCGATCATAAAATTTGTTGAAACGCAAGACAAGTACACGCAAGCTGGATATGCTCTTCAATGAGCATGGAAAGACATCTGTTATCTGATTGTTTCCCAGGTTTAACACCTCTAACATTGTGCAGTTGGCTAGAGATTTTGGGAACTGACCACCAATCACATTGCCATTGAGGTCTAGAGTGTGTAGACTACAGTTCTCAGGAAAATTATCTGGAAGAGTGCCAGAAAGTTTGTTTCTCCTTAAATCAAGTACTGCAAGAGGCCCGTTTATTGCAGTCAAGCACTGGGGAATCATGCCACTTAAGGAATTATTGGACAGATCAAGAACTTTAAGAGATGTCGCCTTGCATACTGATTCTGGAATGATCCCGTGGATGTGATTACTTGCAAGAGAGAAGAACATAGTGTTCACAAGGAAATCACCAATTTCTGCCGGTATGCTTGAGCTGAAATTATTTCTTGAGTAATCCAGATAAGCGGAAGATGGTGAAACAATTGGAATTGGTCCCTGAAGCTGGTTGGAATGAAGGTCAATATCAAGCACATAAGAAGAAGTAAGATTGAGGAAAGGACCTGGTAGATTTACCAGAGAGTTGCAAGAAAGATTTAGTTGAACAAGATTACTGAGCCTCCAAATCCAGTTGGGTATCTCCCCATGAATCTGGTTTAGGGATAGGTCCAAAGCGCCTAATGCCGATTGATTTCTCAAGAAATCAGGAAAGGTTCTCAACTTTCCAGCGGCTAATTTCAATAAGAGAAGTTGAGGAAAGCAGGAGGAATTGGAACTGTCATAATTAATTAGCAAGCTATTGTATGAAAGATCAAGACTTAAGAGATTTTTCAGTTGTTGAATATCATTAAGCAGAAAGGACCCACTGAAGTTGTTTGAAGAAAGTGAGAGAAAAATAAGCTCTCGTAGATTAAAGATGGACATGGGTATAGGCCCTTCCAAACTATTGCTACTCAAATCAAGGACTCGTAGGGAAGAAAAATTACCAAATTCAGGTAACTGGCCGGAGAAGTGATTGTTAGAAAGCTCTAAATCTTGCAGCATGGGAAGAGAAAACAGAGATGACGGAATAGTCCCATCTAGTTGATTGGATCTCAAATTGAGATTCACCAGATTAGTGAGATTTTCCCAGTGAGTGGAATTAATCTGACCTGTCAGCTGATTGTCAAAAAGATTGATCACGGTCAGATTGTTGGCCATACTGAAGGATGGAATTGAACCGTTGAACTTGTTTGATGACAAGTCAAAAGAAACCAATTGATGAAGATCTTCTATTGACCTTGGGATTGATCCAGTGAAATTGCACCACCGAATATCTACCTCGGACAACATTTTGAGGTTGCCAATAGAGTTCGGAAGCAACTGGCCTGAAAAGTTAGCCCCGCATAGAACCAAGGACCGAAGAGAAGCATTCTTTGGAAATTCTGGTAAGGAACCCTGAAGCTGCGGATTCCAAGATAAGTCAATAGTCTGTAGTGTAGGTACCTGGAAGATCTTCTCTGGGAATGTACCATATAAGCCAGAATAGCTTAGGTGCAAGGAAGTCAAATTTGGGAACTTTGAGAAGAACTCCGGAACTTGAATAGAGAAATCATTGCCATCTAAACGAATAACCGAGAGCGATTGAAGCTTCAGTAATGAACTATCAATAGGGCCTGAAAGAGAACAAGCGGACAAGCTCAGCACCCTCAATTTTGGCAGTGAAGATGATATAGCTTGGCACCATTCAGTCCCCTGTGCTGATATATTCACGCCATCAAGATAAAGTTCAACAAGCTCAGAAAAGTTCCGAATGAGCACTTTCAAATTCGGCATCTCAAGTTTTAGCAACGGATTGTCGAGGGTAGACAAATCGAGAGTTACCAACCTCGTCAAGTGCGAAATCTCAATCGGAACCTTCCCTGCAAATTTAGCTTTCGACAAGTTCAGGTTACGCAAACCGGCTAGCTGTTTGAACTCGGAAGGAATCTGAGTGTAGTTGAAGAAGTTGTGAGCCAAATTCAGGTTCTCGATCGACTTCAGACCGAAAAGAGGACTGGAATTATCAAGTCCACCAGTAATCCACTCGTTGCTCAAGTCCAGATTCGAAACACAACCCTCTTTGCAGGACACTCCTTCCCAAGAGCAGTAGTCCGAGGCATTGTTCCACTTCACAAGTTTTTGAGACGTTGCAGGGTCAAATGCGAGGGTGTCCTTCAATTGTAGCAGCAAAGATTTCTGATCGCCGGGACATTGGGTAGAGACCACAAACGTATGGAAGGTGAGTGAAACATAGCAAATGCGGAGTAAGAAAAGCCATGAAAGCAGAGGAGTTTTCATCGGAAGTTGTTGCTGATATGTGACACAAATGTAAGGAAGGAAAAGCTTAGGCAGGTCCCTAGTTATTCTTCTTTGTAATTATAGAATGTGTAATGGCGTGTGAGCCAAAGACCAATTTGGTCTTAGTCAGTGTCGGCTGTGGGGGTCCCGAAGGAACAGCTGCACAGAGTCTCCGTCTCCAAGGGAAGGGAACTTTTAATTATTTATTTTATATACATATTTCAGTTTTATATATTCCAAAAAAAAACTGTATATGCATAACTTAACTAAGTACAAATTTAAAAAATACCCAATGTTTTTCTGTTTTGAAAATACTGTATCTTTTTATATATTTTTTTTCTTGGTTAAAAACTTCATTTGTTTAACATATACCTTCCTTTAAATTCTTCTATATCTATTATTTAATAGAAGATATTGTGTTACAAAGTTGACTTTCAGATTAAGTTTTGTACTTATAAATATGCCACAGAAGAAAAATAAAATCTTTTAAACACACACAAAAAAAGTCTTGTGCATGAAAGGACTACATTTTAATTTTCACATAGTGCCCCATTTTATTGAACTGTGATTTGTTGTGATGAGGTTGTAATTTGAATTTTAGTTCCGCACAACCAATTGCACAACATCTACATGTATAACCATTTCATCTCCCATTTTCCCTTATCTCAAGTACAAAATAGTGAAAACTACAAACAAAAAAATAAAATAATTTCCAAGCTCAAGTAGGCTGTTTAATAATTATTTCGTTTTTATTTTTCGTTTATCATTTTTTAAAGAAAATTTAGAAAATAATTTTAATTTAAAAAAATAAAAAAATAATAATTATCAGACGGATTCTAAATAACCAAATCGACTCAAACGGATTGACGTGTGTATGTATGGCTCTTAGAGACGCTAAGAAAAGCGTGGTGATGGTTTCTACCAAATCTATGGTTTGCCTGACTTGTTAACTTCAAAATCTTTCCCCATATTCCTTGTGGGGCTTAAATTGTGGGTTGTTTTTTCAATAGCGAAATATTATTGCTTAAGAGTAATTGTAGTACTACTTTAGGCAATGTGGCAAGTGGAAATTTGTCATCGTAAGTTGCCATGAAAGCAGATGCGGAGTAAGAAAAGCCATGAAAGCAGAGGAGTTTTCATCGGAAGTTGCCGCTGATATGTGACACCAAATGTAAGGAAGGAACAGCTTAGGCAGGTCCCTAGTTATTCTTCTTTGTAAATTTACTTTGTTTTCTGTTGTGAATAATTACATATGCATTTACAGAATGTGTAATGGCGTGTGAGCCAAAGACCAATCTAGTCTTAGTCAATGGATGGTACACCACGTGTTTCTATATAAATTATGGAAATTTCAATTTTTAAGTTATTAACTTTTTAACATAAATATTCCACCATTTATATGAAGACACATGGTGTACCATTTCGTGTGACGGTCACACTGAAAAATCTCTCGTCCCGAAGGAACAGTTGCACAGAGCCTCCATCTCCAAGGGAAGGGAACTTTTAATTATATACACACACACACACATGGGCGAAACTACATAGGGGCAAGGAGGGGTAGATGCTCCTCCCCTCGCCGGAAATCAAACTTAGAAGCAGTGGTTCCGCCCATCCGAACCCGTCGGAAGTGATGAAGTTGGTCTGTTTTTCTGGGTTCCATTGCTGATATGCAGCTCTGCTGCACAAGAGTTCTATTTTTGTTCCCTTAAAAACCAGGACAACGACGTCGTTTGGTCTTGGTTAAAAAAAATAAAAAATTCCCTTTAGTGGGACGACATCGTTTTAGTTACTGAAATAAAACATAATAATTAATTAAAGGGAACCACATGTCTCCCCGTTGCCTTCACTCTTCCCCACCCCGTTCCATTCACTCCTTTCCCACTTTGAAAACCAATCAGACAGGAAACCCCAGCAGCACAACCGCCCGTTTGGTCTTCCTTGCTTAAAGACTTCAAGCTAACCCAGCCCAGTCGTCATCTTCAGCCCCTTTTCTCCAAATTTTTAGGTAAAATTTTTAATTTCTAAATTTATGTCATCCCTAACCCTAATTGATTATATAATACGACATTTTGTTTAATTGATATAGAACTACAGAGTAATTAGCTAACATGGTTATTGATTATTGATATGAAATCTTATAATTATTGATGAATGAAATTGTTATTTACGGTAAAATTTGAATTATTGATTATTGATATTGAATTGAATTTTAGCTACTGAATATTTATATGAGTATTACTATTGATTAATGAATTGTTGGTTTATTTAGTTATTAGTCATATAGTATATGAAGATGCATAGTGAATTTTCATCATTGAAAGAAATTAGTGAACTTGTAAAGGAGTCAGTGAAGACCGAAAGGTGTGCAAGCTACAAGTTAGTGTATAAGCTTCTTAAATTGACTTTGGTGTTATCGGTTGCAACCGCTTGGTGGATAGAGCTTTTTTTGCTATGAAGATTGTGAAAACACCATTGCGTAACAAAATATGAGATCAATGGTTGGGTGATAGTATGGTTGTTTAGATTGAGAGAGATGTATTTGTTTTTATTGATAATGAGCTTATTTTGCAACGTTTTTATGACACGAAACCTCACCAACAACAATTGTAACTTATTTATATTGATAAATTATGAACAACACTACTATATAAAAAGATTTGGTTGTTGCTATTTTTTCTTAACCTGACACTCTTTTAATGCATAACTTAACTAAGTACAAATTTGAAAAATACCCAAATGGTTTTTTGTTTTAAAAATACTGTATCTTTTTATATATTTTTTTTTTCTTGGTTAAAAATTTCATTTCTTTAACATATACCTTCCTTTAAATTCTTCTATATCTATTATTCAGTAGAAGAAATTGTGTTACAAAGTTGACTTTCAGACTAAGTTTTGTACTTATGAATATGCCATAGAAGAAAAAAAAAATCTTTTAAAAACACAAAAAAAAAAAGTCTTGTGCGTGAAAGGACTACATTTTAATTTTCACATAATGCCCCATTTTATTGAACTGTAATTTGTTGTGATGTGGTTGTAATTTGAATTTCAGTTCCGCACAGCCAATTGCACAACATCTACATGTATAGCCATTTCATCTCCCATTTTCCCTTATCTCAAGTATAAAATGGTGAAAACTACAAACAAAGAATAAAATAATTTCCAAGCTCCAATGAGCTGTTTAATAATCATTTCGTTTTTATTTTTAGTTTATCATTTTTTTTTTTTTGAAAATTTAAAACATATTTAGTAACTACTTTTAATTTTAAAAAAATAAAAAATAATTATAATTATCAGACGGATTCTAAATAATAATTATCAAACGGATTGACGTGTGTGATGGTTTCTAGCAAATTTATGGTTTGCTTGACTTGTTGACTTCAAAGTCTTTCCCCATCTTCCTTGTGGGGCTTAAATTGTGGGTTGTTTTTTCAATAGCGTAATATTATTGCTTAAGAGTAATTGTAGTACTACCTTAGGCAATGTGGCAAGTGGAAATTTGCCGCATTTAAGATACTAATTAATATACTTGGATTTATATATGCCACTGTAGAATTGTTAGATTAGGAAAAAAATTTGAAATGTTATAGGAATTTTTACATTTTTTTTAAGGGGAAACTTGATATAACTCCAATTTTTTGAGCCAATAGTAGGAATAGTTCAGTTTATTAGAATAGGTCCAATTCTTTAAATTTAATTATTTTATTATCAATAATTATCTCTTAATTGAAAAAAATTATTGTAAAAATCAAATTTCTTCCTAATTATCTCTTTGATTATTTCTTTTTATTTATATATTTGTTATTTCTTGTTCTTCCTCGTGCTTTAATCCATTAATAGATTTTATTTTAATTTTTATAATCAACCTATATCACAGGTTAATTGTATTGATCTACCTATATGACATATTCTTTTTCACAGTCAACCTGTCACAGATTAATATGTCTTGCTTGTAGGTATATTATATTTTTTCTACCTTTTAGTTAGGTTCCATATCTCACTTATAGGTATAATATACATTCATATATTTGCTACTTGAGTTAGGGTAGAATTTTTTTTTGCAGATAGATTTATTTTAGTATATTAATTTTTTTTGTTATAAGATATTAATTAGATATTTTGGAGTTGAAAAATGCATAATATTAAAAGATTTTAACTGATTTTTAATATTTTTAGAAAATATAAAATGAGTATAAAAGAAATAAAAACATATAATTTATTAACTGGACTCACTCCTAAAAACTCTCTATGTTTTTGGACCTGGATCTAAAAGCCCCTTTTTTTAATTTATCATATGAACTAATATTTAAGCGATTTGTCATACCAACTCTATTGAGTTTTCTATCTAAAATAAATCACATACTTGCGGAGCCAACTAATGTGCATTGAGATCCTTTAACCCCAATAAATTTGAAAATATACTCTTATGAGTTTTTTTTTTTAAACAAACGATATTATTTATACTAAAAAAATTATGAGCTTAACGTTATAATGGACTAATAATGTGGTTCAAATGAAATGGAATGTTGTTTTCGCTGCACAGCAAAAATAAAAGCAGACTAGAATAAAAGGAAAGGCAAATGCCTTTGCCTTTCGGTGCCTAAAAAGCAGATACGAGTGAAAGGCATTTTGATGCCCTTTGTGGTTATTAAATGCAAAGGGGAGAGATGAGGGCGACATTCGTTGAACTTCTGAAATTAGTCCTGAACATAAGTTATGGGTGCCTTTCACATAAGTTATTTTGAATGAAAAATTTAACGAAGTTAGAGTTAAATGAAAAATTAATGATTCAGAAAGTTAGTATAACAAATCGTTTAAAATTTTAGTTTATATATGATAAATTGAAGAAGGTGTATAATTTTATATAACATTTCAAAATAAAATTCTTGGTTTTATTGGTTGACGTTGATTTTGAAGTCTTGATTGTCTCAATTCATGACTTTTGATAAAGTTTAATTGATTTCTAGATATTTTTATAAGACAACATGGCGTTCAAGTTTGACTGCGTTGCTTTCCTATCCTCATTTTCCAGTGGCTATTGACTGACTAAGGCAATACATAGTCAATACAAACAGAAATGACTATCTCAGCTCAGCTGAAACCATGATGAAGTTGAACTATGAACGTGTGTTTATGCACTTTGTTTATCGAATGTGTAAAACAATTGTCCTATATTTTATAAAGTTCTTCAAAGTCCAAATTATAGTTCTCACGCGTCAATTGACAAAAAAAAATAAAAATAAATAAATAAATAATCAAAATGTAAGCTATGCATATACCTAAAGTACTATGACCTCTTATCATCAATAATTCAACAATTATTATTACTCAAAGTATGCAAAACACGTTTTAAATTATGCCACACAGAATATCGTAAATAAATATTTTGGTTTTTGTATGGCAAAAGAGGAAAAGGCTGACAAGCAAAAGAAATGATTATCAACAAATTTCAACACAAAAAAAAAAACAAAACGACTTTCAAGCTCCAAAAAGACTTTTAATAATCATTCTATTTTCATTTTTCACTTTTTATTTTTTTTTCAAAAATAAAAAATTCGTTTGGTAACTTAAGCGAGCCATACTACAGAAAACGTGGTGATGGTAATGTATGTATAGTGGGTATAATTTTGTGGTTTGCTTGACGTGTTGACTTCAAAGTCTTTCCCCGTATCCCTTATCGTGGTGATGGCAATGTATGTATGTATGAAGAACTTTAAAATGTAGGTTGTTTTATTCAATGTTGACAGACCACTGAGTGGAAAAGAGGGAGGCAGGTTGTCTGCCCTCCTTTTACCATGCCCTTCACATCCTTTTCTATTTGTACAGTCACGGTTAAGTCACGTCAACATGTTTTATTATTTCTATAAAAAATCAATATAAAATGTTGATATGACTTAACCATGACCGCACAATGTAGGAGGGGATGAGAAATGCATGGTAATGGGAGGGCAGACAATCTGCCTTTGGAAAAGAAGGTAAAATTTCGCCCCTACATAGGAGCTAAAACTTCATGAAACAATGTATACCCCACGTTCAGATACATGCGTTATACTCCTAGTTTCATATAAAAACTTGTTTGAAAGTATTTTTAAAACAATTAAAAGTGTTTTAAGAAAAAAAATGTTTTTAGAATCAATATGCAATAAAACAAAAGAGAATCTTGAAAAATCACTTGAAGTGATGCTTCATCCACAAAACACTTCAAGTGTTTTTGAG